CTGTACACATTTGGCCGTGCCTCATTAAGTCAACGGGAATAAAGACCGTGCCTCATTTCAGCCAGACAAGTCCCCTACGCTGGTTCTGGAATTATGTTGGCAGCCATCTCCGTCCATCTCGACCTCGATGTTATCCTCATGATCTCACGGCGATGTTTACGAATACAGGGCACAATAATATAGGATTTACCATGGAGAGACGTACCTTTGTGCTCTAGTGGTAGTACCTTATGGGCGATAATTCCTACTCTCAAAGCAATGTAGAATAGCAGGGTTCTAGGAAAAAAGAAAAACATTGGAAAGTCAGCTCTGGGTGAGTGTGGTTCACGTCTACCAGACCTCTGGCCAGCATGGGAGATTAGGCCAAATACTCCCTTGAGGGGGCTCGAAAGCTCCCTGTTGTGGAGGCCCTTCTGCCAGCAGCGGTGCGAGTTAGCAAATGCAGAACTGCGCCTTTACCTCCCTGTTATCGGCAGCCCAGTCGCAGATGAAATCATCAGTTGATTCAGAGCAAAAATAACAACGATGTTAATATGCGCACAGGATGGCTGGAAGCGTTGCATATGTAACAACTATGTCGATCCACTGCTGGATAGTTGTATATGTACAGCTCCTATGTTGATGCACTGCTGGATTTAAGAGCCGTGCTGTGCGGGTCGCGAGAATTATTTCACCATACTTCACCACGCTGGTCAGTGCGGAGTTTTGAAGGTGGACGGCTTTCCATAGTACAACAATAGACTGCTTCGCTCCCTTCTGCTGAAAACGTAGCCCCGAAATAGTCTTAATATTGTTATTATCGGACATTGTTACACATCGTGGTGGTGGTGGTCTATCAAAGCGCTTTCCAGGCGCAACTACTGCTTAACTTCCTCTTAATTGGACCTCCTTTGCCAGTACCAAAATATAATAATAGGGTCTTTCCCCTTTTTTCTGGCAACAAAACTGAAACCTTTTTACAAGGATTCATGTCTGCATTAACCACAATACTTGCAGTCAAATGCAAACAAAAAACACACTGATAATATATGCATTGTCCTTGAAACGTCGTGAGAATTGTTTTGTTTTATTTTTATTATTTTATTACTTTCCTTCTACGTGACTTTACCAAAGAACCAAGAAAACGATAATCCACCTAGCCATCTACACGCGCAATGGACTGATTTCATCACTCCATCTCCTAGGTATACGTAAAACCCTGCCGTACGCGTTTCGTTCAACCCATATCCGGTTGCTGGGTCCTGACAAGCGAGTTTGCGGTGGTTCACATCGGGATGCCTTGCAGACTTTATCTTTCTTCACGGGGCTAGGTTACGAGGACGCATGCGTTCGCGTGAACGCGCGCGTGAGTTCGCGTGAACGCCAGACTTAACACCATTTGATTTTTTTAAATCTCTGTTTTTTTTATTTAAATAAGGTCTTAGAGTAGAACACCTTTACGAACTTAAACAACGTATTAAACATCGTATCAACTTAGACATCGTGTTGTTGATGCTGCTGTGTCATCCCTACAGCTGCGTTGGAAAATGTTTTCTCCGAGTTTGAACGCCGAGCTCGATTAATGAGAGCGAATGATTGACTGCATGCAAAATTTTATTAATAATTCTAGAATATCGAGGGTGTTTCTAAAGTTTTTTTAAACACTTCTGAGAATTTGCAACAACACCACAATAAATGTGCCTCCGGGCTTTGGAGACCACCTGGAAAAGATTCCAGGCCACGCGTTGACAACGAAGGCGAACAAGTGGAGACTTTTTGAAGCTATTAACATTACATTTGTTTTCGTGTTACAGTGTATTATCCGTTCCTTCACCATTAAAAACGATAGTCCCATGTGAGTGTTAACATTTTTTGAAGCACCCTGTACATGCAATATCCTCACCGTTTTAATAAACCAAAACCCTATCAGTCTATTACGTCCCGATTTAAAGCTTTCGTGACTGCAGGGATTCATATTCTTGGTTCACGTAGAAGGGAAATAATAAAATAATAAAACTAAAACTATACAATTCTCACGACGTTTCGATGGCAACACAAGCAATTTTCTTGCTCTGGTTTTCACACCTGATGATGATTGCTTGTGTTGCAATCGAAACGTGAGCATTTTATTATTTTTTTTTATTTCCCTTTTACGTGACTTTACCGAAAGAACCAAGAATATCTATGACGCCGGTTAATTTTCGGACACTTTGTTTATATGTAATCCGTTTAACGCGTAGCCTTTCGCGACCGCTTGCAAGTTCGGGCGAGGATAAATGTGCGCGTGTTGACGCCGCACCCCCGAACGGTTCTTGCCCAAGTCTCTTTCCGTGGGCGGGAAGCGAGGGAGGTGATGAACTCTCCTTCCGAGAGCGCGAGACGCAAACCTCGCAGCGTGCCGACATCGGCATGCAAAGCCCGTCGGCGCGCGCGTGCATTCGGGTTTTTAAATCCTTTATATTAAGTTCACTTGCTTGCTTGCTTGCTTGCGCGCTTACGACCGTGCAAATCTTTCGGTCGCTTTTTAACCCACTTCCCGTGATCCAATCGAGCTGACATTTTGCACACAGACTCGTTGTGTGTGACAATTTCTTTTCGTGAAAAATTTTTTTTCCAAAACTTTACACTTTTTAGGTTAAAAATAATTGTATTTAATTACCAATTGCTTAATGGTGGCAGGCAATCATCTGACCCATAGGTGGCAGCCATCTCAAGCCAGAGGACGAGAGGACTCTAGCCGCCCGTTTCAAAGACCAATGCGGGCTGGGTTGTGGCCCGTTGAACACGCATATAAATGATTTATAGTGAAAAACTTAGTTTTGACGGGTTAATTTTTTTTTTACCAATGCGTCCGTCCGATTGATGTTGTCGGTGTTTAATTAATGGGCTACCGAGCGAACCTTTGCGCGGCGCGATGCGCCCGCTCGCCGGCCTCCGAGCAAAAACCTCACTGAGCGTAGCTCCAATCACGGGGAGCGTCGTGGATCTGTTGCGCAGCAGCGGAGGTGGTTTCACGATTACGCGCGGAGCAAGGAGGAGAGCCCCAAGCAACATCAGGAGGAGGAGGTGGAATCTTGAAGTTTTCGTGGCTGCAGGAATTCATACTCTTTGGGTCTTTCGGTAAAGTCACGAAAGACCAGAAGAGTAAGAGGAGGAGGTGGTGGTGGTGGTTCTCAAAGGTTTGCTATGGTGGGGGGCTGACCCCCACCCCCCCGTGCGCCCCCCCCCTTCACCCACCACAACCACCACAATAAAGACCATTGGTCTCTGCCCCCCCCACCACCACTTCTCCCCAAGTTCGTAAGGCCACAAAACAGAATGGCGCACGTGTCCACGCGGCGAGTCGTTGCGGTGGTAGTGTGTATGTGTGTGTACGTGTGTGTGTATGTGTGTGTGTACGTGTGTGTGTGTGTACGTGAGTGTGTGTACTTGTGTGTGTGTACTTGTGTGTGTGTGTACGTGTGTGTGTACTTGTGTGTGTGTGTACGTGTGTGTGTACGTGTGTGTGTGTGTACGTATGTGTGTACGTGTGTTTGTACGTGTGTGTGTGTGTACGTGTGTGTGTGTACGTGTGTGTGTGTGTGTGTACGTGTGTGTGTACGTGTGTGTGTGTACGTGTGTGTGTACGTGTGTGTGTGTGTGTACGTGTGTGTGTACGTGTGTGTGTGTACGTGTGTGTGTACATGTGTGTGTACGTGAGTGTGTGTGTGTGTACGTGTGTGTGTACGTGTGTGTGTGTGCGTGTGTGTGTGTGTACGTGTGTGTGTGGGGAGCGGTGGCGTAGCGGTTAGCGAGCTGCGCTACGAACCCGGGGGACCCGAGATCGATTCCCGCTCACGGCCAACACCAGTGCCGATTATCTGAGCCGGTCCTGAGCCTCCTCTAGGTCCACTCAGCTTCAAATGAGTGCCTGGTGCGGTGTGTAAACATCGCCACTGGGGAGACAGGCGGCTAACAGCACGTGCCACAACAGCCTGTTAATCCTTTTCGGGGGATCTTTGTGTTTGTGTGAAATGTGCTAGCAAGGCATTTGTATCACGCCGTCTTAATTTGTTTTGTGCTGGTTCGAAATTGTCTTCCTGCACGGTATCCATGCCGCGGCTTGCGCCTGCCACTCCGTTTCCACCAACCCAAATCTCTCCACCACCCCCTTCCCCCCTAAAAGGATTTAAAGCTCCCTCCGCCACAATGTGTTAAGAACCTGCTTGCCATAGGGCTCTTTAAATAATGCAATAGGTGATGTCACTGTACCCAGAGCCCCCCCCCCGCCCGCTCCACCCCGCCACCAATCCCCCTTTAGCTAAACTCAAAACATAACAGTAGTTACAAAAAAAAAGCTGCGTTGGGGGGGATTTGCATTTTTTTATATATATAAATCCGGCTCTCTCGTTTCGAATTGCGAACATGCGCCTCTGTACGTGTGTGTATTTTGAGCGGTGGTGTAGCGGTTAGCGCTACGCTGCGCTGCGAACCCGGCGACCCGGGTTCGATTCCCGCTCACGGCCCAACACCGGTGACGATTATCTCAGCCGGTCCTGGGCCCCTCCCCTAGGTCGTCTCAGCCTCAAACGAGTACCCTGGAGCGGTGTTGTAAACATCGCCACGAGCGAGACAAAGACGGCCGGGGCGTGATGCTGGCCAACCAAACCGTCTCGTGTGCCGTGCCGGCCTTCATAGGTGCTCGCTAACAGCACTTGCCCCAACAGTACGCTAAGGCTACACGGGGAGGGGGGGAATTCTTTGTCTTTCTCTCTTTCTATTGTTTTGATTCTCAGCGCTCGTGAGCGCGGGTGGCCGTGGGAGATGCGTGCGAGGGGAGACTGGCAGTGGACACGACTTTTTAACGACGAAAGAATGGTCGAGATGAGATTGAATTAAAAGCGATGATTTTCGCTGCTGCTCCACGCTGCGTTCGCCATGGCGCGCTTGGCTTGATCACAGCCGCTCTCTTTTCCAAGTTACCGAACGTCTGCGAGAAAATGAAAAATTGAAAGGGGTTGGTGGTGGTGGTGGGGGGGTGGAAACGAGAGAAGAAATTCAAACATCTGAGGATGGAGCCCGACATCAAGGTACGATTCGGCTTACATTTGACGATGTATTATGTTTTATTAAATACGACGCATAGAGTGTTTACGTCTCTCTTATTTGGAGGCGTTGCGGTGGGGAGCTCGGGGGGGGGGGTTAACTTCACACGCCTCGTGGAGTTTCCTCGTGCGCTGTCCGTTCGAGTCTGTCGCGCGCCTGAGATGTAATTGGAACAATGCATTCATTATTCATTCATTATTCATTCGGGCGCTTCGTTACAATCGCACAGCACGCGTTGACAATAGAACGAGCAAGGGATGCAGGAGGGTTGGCTGCTGTTGCTCAGACCTCACTTGACTTACAACCCACAGGTCGCCGTCGGTTCGGTCTCCCGGCGTGGAAGCTGAAACAATGGCTCAAGATTCTTTAATTGCCTCCCCCTCCCCTCCTCCTCCCCACTACATTCCATCTCCCTCCCCTCCCCCTCTTTCCCCGTGCACCTTTCACCACCCAACAGTACACGTGGGTGCATCCACAGCAGGTCGAATTTGATGGTGAGGTGTGTGTGTGTGGGGGGGGGATGTGTGTAACTCCCTCCTCTTCCAAGACGCACTGGCCAGAGTTGGAAGAGTAGGCCAAACACCCTCGACAGAGAGGGGGTCTGTAGAGCTCCTCTCTAGCGGAGGCCATGCCGACAGCAGTGACGGCAGCGGGCAGTTGCAGGGCTGGGCCTTTGCCACCCTAGCGGTTGGCAAGACCACATCGTGCACGGTTCGCGTGTGTTGAAGCTAGGCCTCGGCAAGGTAAGGTAAAAGTGTAAAAGCAACGAGCCTACCTTTTACCCTACATTTTACCCTTACCCCTTGGCATGTCGACGCCTTTACCTTTACCCTTTTACCCGGTAAAAAGGGTACAATTATCTTACCTTGCCGAGGCCTAGTTGAAGCTGCGCGTGGCATTCACAAATTGTTTTTTTGAAGCGGGGCATTAAAGAACCCCGATAAGGTGTTGCTCCCAGTTCCACCCCCACCCACCCCCATACGGCAGCGTGCGTGTTGATTGCAGTAACGTCGGACTTGTCGCGCGGTTCAAATAAGTCGTCATTGGCTCGGGATGAGCGATGCAGAAGATCGGAAGGGAACGTCGGAGGGCCGCTGATAGTTGTCGATTGTGAACAGGCTGGGTGGGCACGGGGGCCCAATTCCGAGCCGGCTACTGGAGCCATCTACACGGGTCAACGGCGCGGAGAAGACCTAAAAGGTCAAATTGTCGGATAACGATATCTGTGGGTCTCGGTGTGAGTCTATGGGTCTCGGTGTTTGCTTCGAAACTTGGGGAATATTGCGTCTTGTGAGCCAGATGCGGGGGACTCACCGGGTATAGGGGGAGAGAAGACTGCGGTTGGGTGAGCTAGCGAGCGTGGTGGTGCCGATCCTTCGCATCAACACCGGGGAGATAAAGGCGGCCGGGCGTGCTGCTGATGACCCACCGCGTTCGTCTGCTGTGCCGGCCTTGATAGAATTTGTCCCAACAGTTTGTGAAAGGCTATTTTGTCTTCGTCCTTAATAAATATTTTAAAAAAAGTGTGCGGATACTGGGTGGGTGATTACATCTTAGGGATCGTGAGAGGTGGATGGCCTTTGTCCAGCAGTGGATCGATCACGGCTGATGACGTAGAAGCTGAGTAGGACAGAGTTGTGAGAGAACCCGGGGGTGTTGGGTGTTGGGAAAGTTGCGTTCAGTGCTGCTCGGGACATCTGGACGGATGGAAACATTTGCAAAGGTGTGCAAAAGGTGCTGTGAAGAAGGACCATTGCCCAAAACGTCACCTATTGTATAGTTTTCATTTTTAAGGCTGCAGGGTTATTGATGAATGTGTTATATTTTTTGTGAATAGAAAAAAGTACCGATTGTTTGCGGCAACGTTTAGATCAAGGCCGGCGATGTTGATGAATTGCAATCGATTGGAGTCTCGAAATCATGTTACCACGGCCGTTTCACTCACTCTCTCACTCACTCTCTCACTCATTCTCTCACTCATTCACTCTCTCTCATTCACTCTCTCACTCACTCTCTTACTCATTCCGTCACCCATTTCCTCACTCTCTGGACCACTCACTCATACTGTCAATCATTTACGTATGTATGTTGAATTTATTTCACTCTCTCTCTCTCTCACGCACTCTCTCTCTCATTTTTTCACTCACTCATTCACACTCACTCACTTTCTCACGCCGTCTCTCTCTGACTCTCTCTCTCATTCTTTCACTCACTCATTCACACTCACTCATTCACTCTCTCACGCCGTCTCTCTCTGACTCTCTCTCTCATTCTTTCACTCACTCATTCACACTCACTCATTCACACTCACTCATTCACTCTCGCACGCCCTCTTTCTCTGACTCTCTCTCATTCTTTCACTCACTCATTCACACTCACTCATTCACACTCACTCATTAACACTCACTCATTCACTCTCGCACGCCCTCTTTCTCTGACTCTCTCTCATTCTTTCACTCACTCATTCACACTCACTCATTCACACTCACTCATTCACTCTCTCACGCCCTCTTTCTCTGACTCTCTCTCATTCTTTCACTCACTCATTCACACTCACTCATTCACTCTCTCACGCCCTCTCTCTCTGACTCTCTCATTCTTTCACTCACTCATTCACACTCACTCATTCACTCTCTCACGCCGTCTCTCTCTGACTCTCTCTCTCTCATTCTTTCACTCACTCATTCACACTCACTCATTCACTCTCTCACGCCGTCTCTCTCTGACTCTCTCTCTCATTCTTTCACTCACTCATTCACACTCACTCATTCACACTCACTCATTCACTCTCTCACGCCCTCTTTCTCTGACTCTCTCTCATTCTTTCACTCACTCATTCACACTCACTCATTCACACTCACTCATTAACACTCACTCATTCACTCTCTCACGCCCTTTTTCTCTGACTCTCTCATTCTTTCACTCACTCATTCACACTCACTCATTCACACTCACTCATTCACTCACTCACGCCCTCTCTGACTCTCTCATTCTTTCACTCATTCACACTCACTCTCTCACGCCCTCTCTCTCTTTCTGACTCTCTCTCATTCTTTCACTCACTCATTCACACTCATTCACTCTCTCACGCACTCCGCGGCCGCCACCGCCACGGGCGAGGAGATCGAGCGAGCGAGCGAGCGAGCTTGGCAGGAAAGTTGATCTCGCTGTTTGTAAACTTCTTCTGTTGAATCAATTAGGCGCCGCGCAGAGATTGCGGGCCTTTGGCACCCCGCGATGATGGCACTTCAAACGAGGTGTTTGAAGTGGCCCTCAGAGCACATCCACTGCTCTTGTCCGTCAACCGCCACGTGTTTCCTCACGCCCCCCCCCCCCCACCGCTCTCTTCACTTTGACTCGGCTCGTTGATCTTGCCAGAGACTTAACAGATTCGTCAATGACAACGCCTATAAAGGAGACGCGTGTATTTACAATAGCCGACGTTTCGGGCAACGGCCCTTTCTCGGAGCAGAGGAAGGGCTGAAGCATTGCCTGCCCCGCTTTTGCTGCGGTGTTGATTCATCAGTGATTCTTTTTTTTAGTCAGATCAAGAATTGTGAAAATGTGTGTCGTAAACCCTCCTCCACCCGACACAGCAGATTGATTGTATTGTGTCACGTGAATCAAACGTAGCCATATGTTAACTACCTCGCCTGGTATACAGGAGGTCGTGGGTTCCATCCCGACCCTGACGCCTGCTGCTGTATATTTGGAGTTTGAGTGTCTCTCTTTAATTATCATCATCATCATCACGGTGGCTCGGAGATGTTAACTACCTCGCCTGGTATACAGGAAGTCGTGGGTAAGATCCCGACCCTGACGCCTGCGGAGTTTGCGTCTCTCTGTCATCATCCTCACGGTGGCTAGGAGATGTTAACTACCTCGCCTGGTATACAGGAGGTCGTGGGTTCCATCCCGACCCTGACGCCTGCTGCTGTATATTTGGAGTTTGAGTGTCTCTCTTTCATTATCATCATCATCACGGTGGCTCGGAGATGTTAACTACCTCGCCTGGTATACAAGAGGTCGTGGGTTCCATCCCGACCCTGACGCCTGCTGCTGTATATTGGGAGCTTACATGTCTCCCCCGCTCTCTCTCTCTGCGGGCACGTGAATTTTTCTCCGGGTCCTCCGGGTTTTCCCTGCACATTTAGAACCAGCGTGCGTTTAGAGCATTTGGCTGCTATACATTTCCACACGGCGATAAGCCACTTCGGTGAGCAACCGTTTGTGATCGCCAGGTCGCTTCTGATAACACGCTATACAGCTGAGCGGGCCTCTGACCTGGTGAAGTAGAAACAAGTTTCGTTGTAAAATAGTTTAAAGTTACGAACATCGCCACCTTTGATTCGCATGCCACTTTTATGAATTGGCTGTGGAAGGCGGTGAAGTGTTTACGACACACATTGTCACACTTTGTTACACGATGGCCTAACCCTTCCCACCCACCAAAAAAAACCTATTGTGAATGAGAGTGAGGTTGTCAGTATATCTAAGGTCGTGTCTCTTAGAGTTCTCTTCACTTGATACAGTGATTTTGCTGTGACGTTTCCACCTGAAGACGGAAGCTTGTGTTGCCTCTGAAACGTCGTGATTTAATTTATTTATATTTTTTCATTACAAAAATGTACCTACGTGACTTTACCGAAAAAAACAAAGATTATGAATCCTTGCAGTCACGAAAACTTAAAATTTAGAATGAGGGTCTGGTTGTCATGGTGAGGGTCTGGTTGTCATGCGTGAGAGTCTGGTTGTCATGGGTGAGAGTCTGGTTGTCATGGTGGGAGTCTGGTTGTCATGGTGAGAGTCTGGTTGTCATGGGTGAGAGTCTGGTTGTCATGGTGAGAGTCTGGTTGTCATGGTGAGAGTCTGGTTGTCATGGTGAGTGTCTGGTTGTCATGGTGAGAGTCTGGTTGTCATGGTGAGAGTCTGGTTGTCATGGTGGGAGTCTGGTTGTCATGGTGAGAGTCTGGTTGTCATGCGT